TGCCAAGCATGGTACTTGGGTATTTACATGTGATATTTCTTTTAATTTTCATTTCCTTGAGGAAGATATAATTTTTTCCATTTTATAAGTGAGGAAACAGAGGTCAGTAATCAGTAAGTAACTTTCCCAAGGTTCCAGAGTGAGGGAGAGTAGGAGCTTGGATTTCTAAGCCTTTGTCTGACTCCAGAGCCCGAGCTATAACCAATGTACTATATTCTCCCGTCATGCAGTGGGGAAAAAATGTTTTTACTTTTGTAAAATGCCAATAGTAGATTCCTTAGGCTACAGGTTGGTCTTCTCTAACTCACTTTATTAAACTGTAATGTTTACTTTTGAAGTAGAAAAACTCCTTAACCACGAAACCAATATAATCTTGCCCTCAAGCACAGCCACATAGATAGGCTCAAACCACACCGGGCAGACATAAGCCAGTCAAGGTGCACTGTGAGAGAGGCAGGTGGCAGTGTCGGCTCTAATATCTTGTGCTGGCCACCGTCTTTCTTTCCCCGCCTGGAAGAACGTGCAGTGTATTACCTGCTCCCTTTCCCCTGTCGTGCTTGTCTTGGTTCTTTTCCTCTCCTCCCTTTCCCTCTCCTCTACTCTCTTTTCTTCTCTCTCCCTCTCACTCTCTTTGCTTTCTTTCCTCTCTAGCTTAACAATATTCCCCAACTTATACCCTGGAATTTTGCCCAGGTACTTTAAGAGAATCTCCCTCCGTCACTTACTTTCTTTTCTTTTTTCCTCCTTTTCCTCTTTTATTTTGTTTAGTCCATTTGTAGACCAATTTTTAAAAAATTATCATTGATAAATGCATGAATATTGCCACCCAAACGTCAGTGGAAAGGAAAGTTCTATATCTGAGGGTGAAATTAGGCAGCTGGCATAGTCAGGATCGAAAGTCCTGGAAGCCATTTTAGAAAATCCAGGCCAGGTGTGATGGCTTATGACTGTAATCCCAGAACATTGGAAGGCTGAGGCAGGTGGATCATTTGAGGTCAGGAGTTCGAGACCAGCCTGGCCAACACGGTAAAACCTAATAGCTACTAAACACACACACACACACACACACACACACACACACACACACACACAAATTAGATGGGTGTGGTGGTGGGCACCTGTAATCCTAGCTACTTGGGAGGCTGAGGCAGGAGAATCACTTGAACGCAGGAGACAGAAAGTGCAGTGAACTGAGATCGTGCCATTACACTCCAGCCTGGGACTCTGTCTCAAAAAAAAAAAAAAAAAAAAAAAAGAAAATAAAAAAGAAAAGCCACACAAGTCTTTCGATATATCTGAACACACTTGTAATGAAACCTGCTTTTTTCTCAAGCACTGAAATTTAATGAGTAAAAACATTCAGTGATGGGCAGTGGGTAAGACTGGGAAAGCAGAAACATAATTAAATAAGGAAAAAAAATGATACCCTCAAAGAGCTCCCAATCTAGTTTTATCCATTATTTAAAATCATCTTTTGGCATTCATTCCTAGTATCAGAGTCATTTTTTTTCTCCCTACTAAGTGAATTTTCTGTCAATTACATTTTGGATGGGAATTTTGCAGGCAGTTTTGGAACCCAGCCACCTTTTATCAAAACAATTCTATGGGAAAATGCATTTTTAAGTTCACAAAAACGGACTTGGACACCAAGTGGAACACAGTCTTTTTGTACATGAGGGCTGCTCTGTGAGCGTCATTGGACGACTACCTTCTAAGTCACTAGGCTGACCTATGGCTGAAAGAAATCTGTATCTGGCACCATCTGGGGTTTGAAGGAAAGGAAGTGCTGTTGTTAGCATTTGTTCCAATACTTCACCTTATCATGACGCTAAGAAAACCCCAAGCTGAAAATGACAACCAAAGAGCTAGAAGCAGTTTTCTAAATGGGACTGGTGTCTCTACCAGCCATTCACTTTGGTCTTTGGGTTTTAGCTTCAGGTCTGTCCTCCTGTCACAGCCCAATTAGAGCAGGGTGAAATAGATAAGGGCACGAGAGGCTGTGTCAGCTGTGGCCAGCACTCTTAGGATGGTGATGATGATGATGCTGCTGGATGGAAAGCTTGGGCAGGGAAGGAAGGGAGGGAAGGAAAGAGGGGAGTGTCAGATGCTTCTGTACTGGAAGGCTCATGAAAGAAACAGCAGTACTGGGTATTTCATAATACATGCCATTGGGTGAGAAAATGAGTTTCCTGACATTATTATTTTTTTAAAAAATGGCATTAAAGAGAGTCTACTTTAGGTAAAATTAGTCACGAAAAGTACTGGGTCCACAAATCTGGAGGTGGACTTAAATCAGGCAGAAGGCCCAAAAAAGGATGGGGGAGTTTGATAGATTCTTCCGTTTACATTTCCTCTCAGCTTTGATTTTTTTTTTTTCAAAACATCAATTCTGTGACCATGGACTATGGGGATGAGGCTGGGAGGTGGAAGGAGAGGAGAGCTCAGAATGTGTAGATCTCCCAGCCGAGGGAGCCTGGTGCACAAGGGAGGTGACTGCACAGTCACTTATGAGACCATCGGCAAACTCGGAGGCATCTTGTTTTTTGAAAGCTGTCTTCATGAAAAACAGGGCTCCTTAAATATGACGGCATATAGCACCATTTTCTGAACACTTATGAACCCTCAGAGGATGTAGGATTCAGTCAGAAAGCTACTTGTTTAGCCAACCTGTTTACTCAGTACAATTCTCTGGCTAACAGAGTAGGAGGCAGGGTGAGAGGAAGGTGTGAAAATAAAGACAGGGCTCCTTTCTTGAGAAGCACATATTCCTTGTGAGAAGAAGATACTAATACGTAGGGATCAATGAAAGCAGGATCAGAGGCAATTCACAAGGCAGTATGCTGCCATGTATATAACCCGCGAGTGGAGGCCAACAGGGAAAGCCAAAGTCCCCTGTGCGGGCTGGCTGGGGAAAGTTGCATGAAGGAGTTGGGATTTGAGTTGGATCTTGAAAAGGGGGAGGATGTTGACTGGCAGAGAGCAGGGACGACACTGTGGGCAGAAGAATTGCCAGCTCGTGGGGGAACAGGGAATAGACTTGCTGAATTGGCACAAAGGGAGAGATTTCAACTGTGTGGAAGTTGGGAGTTAGGGACTGGCCAAAGCTCTCGCTTTGAGTGAGAGCACGCAATCCTATTAGCCAGTGTTGTACGGATTTTTTTTTGAGACAGGGTGTTGCTCTGTCACCCAGGCTGGAGTGCAGTGGCATGACCATGGTTCACTGCAACACTGACCTCCTGGGCTTAAGTGATCCTCCCACCTCAGCCTCCCGAGTAGTTGTGAACACAGGCACATGCCACCATGCCTGGATAGTTAAATTTTTTTTTTTTTTTTTTTTTTTTGTGGACAAAGGGTCCCACTATGCTGTTCAGGCTGTTCTTGAACTCCTAGACTCAAGCAATCCTTCCACCTTGGTCTCCCCAGATGCTGAGATTACAGGAGTAAGCCACTGCTTCTGGCTGATTCTTGATTCCACAGGTGATGGGGAACCACTGCAGATGTTTGGAAAGGAGGAATCACATGACTTGAATCATAGATACACTTCATTAGAGTTGCAAGAATCCTTAGAGAGCATAAAAGTCAAATCCTTCATTGTATATATGAAGAAACTGAGGCCCAGAGAGGAAAGATGATTAGTCCAAGGTTGTCCAGCAAGTCAGTGGCAAGGCCAGGTCTCTGATACCACCCACCAGTCCAGAGGCCCTTCCCTAATGTTCCAGGGTTGTGTGCTCTTTGGAATATTCCAGTCTTGAGGATGGAGTCCACATCTGCTCATGGTTGCTGTCTTCTGCTGAACCAGACTCTGCCTCTGCCTCTTCCCTGCCACAGTCCCTGTTTTCTTTCTGGGATTTGGACGTCCTTGCGAGAGAAGCAGCTTCCTTTTGGTGCAGAGAGCTAAGTCCAAGCAATGATTGTATTTGGAGTGATTGTGGAGTTGGAAATATGGCTGATGATGAATTTATCATACAGCTTGGACATCTGTTCTTTCATCAAATATTTACTGAGCACCTACTAGGTAATAGTAGTAATAGGCACTGTGCATCATGCTAAGAAGACAACTGGGTTTTTAGGCTAGCGGAAGAAAGAGAATGAGAACATAGCTTAGGAAGTGAGGTGTGGGTGGGAGACCCCGCCAGTGCTGAGGCAAGGGTCTGAGGCCTCAGCCTGTTCCCGTATAAATATTGAACTAGAAAAGAATTAGAGATATAGTCACATAGTTATTCCTGTATATAATCATAAATAATCACATAGTTATTCATATGTAATCATATATATATACACACACATATATATATACTCAATATAAACTTTTAATTTTATTAATGAGTCTCGGGTCATGAAGCATGGAACTGAAGTAACACTGTGAAAGAGGTGACCCTAAGGCAAGATGCTGTCAGCCCTCTGTCACGCCCGCTTAAGGGCTGCGGGAGGGCGCCTTGGCTGTGCGGCAGTGCCAGCGGCTGGGAAAGCGCCTGCTGTTTAGCTAGCTATGGAAGGAGATGTCGGAGATGTCTCCTTCCTCGGAGGAATTAGAAAACTCCACTCCCCCAAGCTCTTGCGGTAGGCCTGACGGCTGTCAGGGGACCCACACACATCTGGGGGCTTAACCGTCTCTGTGATGCTGTGCTTCAGCGGTCCCATTCCACGTCTACTTTCACGTTCCGCTTCTGCACCTGGTTCCTCTTCTTAGAGGATAAGAATTAGTAAAAGTAACATAAATCTTAATGTCTTTGTTCTTTCTTGACCAGTATGAAAAAAGTGCAGACGCATTAGGTCTTCTCCTTACCTCGGCTACTTCAAAGCCCTGGGCCCGTCTCCAAGACACGTGAGTTACCTGACCCTATCACTGACCACCAATGCTTCGCCCCACCTACCCTGCCCCCTGTCTTGTACTGAATAAAAGTCAGAGCGTCCGGGCACTGGGGCCACTGCCGGAGTCCACGCTTTGGTGGGCAGTGGACCCCTGGGCCCAGACTTTCCTTTCTCTATCTCGGTGTCTTGTGTCTTTTATTTCCACAGTTTCTCATCTCCGCACCAGTAGAGAGGGGCTCACAGGACCCTGCAGGGCTGGACCTTACCACAAGAGGGAGCTGTATGGGCACAGAGAGCACTGACCCATTGTGGAGCAGGGGTGGGGAAGGCGAAGAGCAATTGGGCAGGCAAAGAACTAACCGGGAAGGAGGGAGGGAGAAAGAGAGAGAGGGAAGAAACAGAGAGAGAGAGAGAGAGAGAAGGAGAGAGAAAGAGAGAGGTTCTTTCAGGGTCCGCACTAGGCTCAGTGTGTCTGAAGCAGTGTGTGCTGGCTTGGGAGATTGAGAGATGGGGCTGGAAAGGTAAGTGGAATAGATAGTAAAGACCTTTATCGACCATTTACGAAGCTTGGATTTTAAATAGCAAAGAGTGGAGAACAATAAGTATTTACAGATGCTTACTCTACGACCTCAATCAGTTTTTAAAGCAACTCTAAGAGACAGGTGCTATTAGTATCCCCATTTTACAGATGAGAAACCTGTGCTAGAAACGAGAGAGTCAGGATTGAAACCAGGTAGTCCAGCCTCAGAGACCATGTATTTGAGCATAGCCCCTGGGCTATGTGGCCTCATTTAAGGGTTTCAGCAGAGAAATGCCATGGCCACATAGAAATGTTGGAATGGCAGGATCTCAGAAAGACCGACCGACTGACTGACGGGATCCAGGGCTGAGGGAGGGAGATGGTGGCCGTGGAGTTGGGTGAGCTGCTCTACCAGTCTGAGTACCTCAAGACAGCATCTGGGAACAAAGTCAGTTACCAGTGTTGTGTGGAATCTAGACCATCGTTCTCAACAGAAAGACTGTTGTGATGAACGACTGTGTTATCCTAGGGGATCTGGCAAACGTAAGAGTTGGACACCATGGTGTTGTGAAAAGTCGTAGTGTCATAAGGCCACCATTCAAGACATTCAGCAAAGGTGTTGCATTCTTTCCTTTACATATTGGGGACCATGTCTTTATTGAGGACGATTGTATGGTCAACGCAGCTCAGACTGGTTCCTATGTTGGCAAGAGCTGTGTGACTGGGTGCTGGTGTGTGTTGAACGACTGCTGCAAAATTCTTGACAACGCAGTATTATCTCCAGAAACTGTGGTCCTACCAGTCACTGTCTTCTCGGGCTGCCCAGGATGCTCACACAGGCAATGCCCAGCTTTGCTGCTGCTAATGCATCTGGCCAGTTGTTGCAGTTGCTCATAATCCTGGGAAAAGGTGTTTGTGACTTTTCGGAGCACAGATTCCTGTTGGCTGTTAAAACTTGAAGGGAGGGGTGATTAGTGTTTCTCTCTCTTCTTCCTAAAAGGACCTTAGCTGTCCTAGGGTAGTTAGTCAAAGATTTTTTACCATTTTGACCTAGGGCCTTTGGCTTTCACTAAAAGTGGGGACCTCAGCATCCCAGATTATACTTTTGCCAGGTGTTAGATTTGAGTCTGTCATGTGGATGCATTAGTTAGATGGTTAGTCCTTGCCTCAAGGTACTTACCTTATTTCATTGAAGACACCGTATCTGTGAACTCTTGCTTCCTGCCCTGGAACCATTCAGCCTACCCTGTATTTGCTATAAACTCCACAATTCACACAAAAATGTCTGTATTAGGAGCCCAGTCACATATATATATATGAAGGGCTCTTAAAATCAGTTTGTGGGCACAGAGCCCCAGGAGTAAATGAAGCTGCCAGGGCTGTTCTTACCGTCTCCTTCTGGCCAATAGCACAACCATTCCTGGTTCTGCTCTGACCTCTTAGCTTAGAACGCAGATTTAGAAGTGAGGGGCTGAGAAAGCTGGCCTTGCTTAGTGCTCTGATCTGTAAGTGAATAGGGCAGAACAGTTCAGCCTTGAAGGTTAGAATTTAGCAGGAGCCATCCTGACTTAATGTCCATTTTTGGGGTTTGCAAAACAAAACAGCTGTATGTAATCATTTCCGCTAGTTCCATCTAGAACTCCTTTCTAGTTTGTCATTTTTAAAAAAACGTTTATACATTAAAACCACATAGCTCAGACAAGATGGAAGTTTATTTCTCTCTCCCTGAACAGTGCAGAGATAGTCAGCTGGTCCTGGCCAGGCAAATGCTGGTTCCATGATATCGTCAGGCACCCAGGTTTCTACCGTCTTGCCATGTGACCACGGTTAGCAACAAGGGAGGCTGTAGACTTAGTTTCTACGTGGACAGCTAACACTCTGAGGAAGGAGATTCTGCTAGTAAAAAGGAGCGAGGGGAGAATGGCCACTGGGAGGCAACAAGCAAACTCGAACAGGCCTCTGTGTTGCTTCCTTTCCTCCTGCTGCATGTGAGCCTTCTTCATGCATCTGGGGCCATGACAGCTGTTAGCTCCAGACCTGCATCCTCCCAGCTTGGAGGCCCTGAATGAACAGCTTCTTCCTGTCAAGTTCTAATTTGGAAAACTCCCAACATTCTCAATTGTTTTTTGTGAGTCCCATGCTCTCTTGGATCAGTCACTGTGGCCATGTGTGTTTGGCCACGTGATTAATCCAGTGTAGGTCATGACCTTTTCTCCATCCAAAACAAGGTGCTAGGAAGACAAAAACAATAGCTAATACAAACAATAGGAGTTTATAATTATGTGCTGATATATTTGAAGCTGTGTTGACAGTCGTGAGTGTGTATCCTTGGGAAGGCCAGCTGGACTCTGTCTCTCACCCCAGGGACCTAGGAACAGTCTGTTACCACACAATTACTTTTATAATCCTCGAGAAGAAAATCTCCTTGTCCTCAGAATACTTCCAGAAGAACAACCGGATGGGAAGAACCTTGGTTGGGACTCTTTCCAGTGGGCTTGGGGCAGAGGGAATTTAATGGCTCATGTAGCTAAAAAGGCTGGGCTAGACTGGGCTTCAGGCTGCATCCCAGGACTCCAAACAGGGATCTGCCTCCTCGGCTCTCAGCCCTGCTTTCCTTTGAGTTGGCTTTATTCTTGGGCTTCACAGTGTGGCCCCACAGCACCTGTTATTGGTAAAAAGCGCTCCCCTTTGATGACGGAACTGCTGGATTTGGTTCTCATTGGTCCAGACGAGGAAGATACCCAGCCTCAAGTTATCACTGTGACCAGGAAGATGAAATGCACTGAGTAGACAGGGCTGGCATGCACCCGCAGAGACTGAGGGGTGGTACTGGTGGTTGTGGTGGTTGGATGATTTTAACCGAAGAAGGGATGAATGGGTGTGTAACCGGGTTTTTTCTTGGATGTTGTAGGTTCTTGGCCTCCAACCTCTTAAAGAATAAGCTGTGGGGCTGCTTCAGCTGCACCATACGCCCTCGAAAAGTGAGTATCGGACCCAAAAATGTTGCAGAAAGGTGATTTTATTTAGGTAGAGAGAAGAGAAAGAAAGAAGAGGAGAAAGCTTTCCACAAAGAGTGCGGAAGGGGATTCCAGAGGGAAAATCCCGGAGGGAGCTCCCACTATGTGGGAGGGGATTCCACAGAGCTGGAAATCTGGCACAGGTGAGGGAGCACGGACTTTTACCCTGGGAGGAAAGCCCGCCTTCTCCAAGACCCCGGGCCAATGAAAGGAGTTCCTTAGAACTTCCGCTGGAGTGATTGACTTTTAGTTTCTTACCGCGCCCGCGAAATTCAAACATAAACTGTTGAATCTCCCGGATGGAGAGAGATAGGAGGGAGGCATGGCTCGGGGGAAATTCTTGCCCTTAAAGCTATGCCCCGGGCCGGGCTCAGTGGCTCACGCCTGTAATCCCAGCACTTTTGGAGGCCGAGTGAGCTCAGGAGTTCGAGACCAGCCTGGGCAACATGGTGAAACCCTGCCTCTACTAAAATACAAAAAATTAGCCGGGCGTAGCGGCGAGCACCTGTAGTCCCAGCTACTCGGGAGGCTGAGGCAGAAGAATCACTTGAACCCAGGAGGCGGAAGTTGCAGTGAGCCAAGATCACGCAACTGCACTCCAGCCTGGGCGACAGAGCGAGACTTGGTCTCAAAAAAAAAAAAAAAAGAAGCTACACCCCCTCATGGACCCGGAAAGAGAACACATTCCCTCAGGTACTGGGCAGTAAAAGCATGCACAGTTTAGGCCTCTTCTCTTTTGCTCTTGTCTTCACTTTCCTCCCTCTCCCTGCTGTCTTTTACCCTCTACCCAATCTCTCAGCACTCTTGGGAGGTGCCTTCCGAGGATCCTCCTGGCAGGGGTGCCTGAGCCCGGATTAGAGGACAGGGACAGGATGTTGCATAGCCACAGTGGTTGTTCAATAAAGACCCCCCATTTGGATATGGTTAAAAAAAAAAAAAAAAAAGAAAGAAATGTTAGAATGACAACTCTGGCCATAGTGAGGGAAGACCTGGGCCAGTAAAGGAAAATGAGCTGTGAAGAGCTGCCCTTGAAGAGGGTCGGACTGTAAGAAGATAATCAGCATCTTTAGCAAGCCGGAAGACACTGCTGTCCGATTCTGGAAGTGGCAGTTGCTTCCTTCACAGTGTAGGCAGGAGAGCCTCGTGCACACTGAGGCTTTTCAGCTGCTGGAATAGATGCATATTTGTGAGTGTTTAGGAGAAAGGAACAGAGCTGACTGAGGAAATGGAGGAGGGATGATCAAGGTCAGAATGATGTGTCACTGATCCATGTGCTTCTTGAAGGCTACAGTACAAAGCACTGGGAAAAGTCAGGTGGACAGAAAGCAGGAGGGCGTGGGGCAGAGGAGGAGGGCGTGGGGCAGAGGAGGAAGGCGCAGCACTAATCTACACACCCTTGATGGCAGAGAACTCCATCAGTATGCCCCAAGCAGGAGGGGCTTGGGGCATCATTCCCCATGAAGGCAGAATAGGGAAGAGAGGCAACATCTTGACTGGACATGAGGAAACACCCTGAGCAGCAAGGGGATACAGGAGATGATGACCCCTGAGTGTCCAATCAGCTCCTCTGTCAGGTATGAGTCAGCCTCAAAGAGGAGCTTCTTAAGCTCAGTTCTGGATTCTGGCCACACAGAGGCAGCCTGGCCGTTTGCTTGTGGCTCTGCTCCTGGGGCAGAGCCTCTACGGAGAATAACGCAGAGAGACAGTGGGCTGGGTGAAGGCAGGAATTCTGCAACCAGGGCTGATGTGCCAGTGTTCAGCTTTGTCTTTTCAGCTATAAAGCCCATCTTGTTTCTGAGGGGAAGGAAGATAAAGGAATAATGGCCGACTGGGCCTGACCCAGGAAGATCCTGTGGTTTACTCTTCATAGCCTAAATTACTAACACCTAACACCGGGCTTAGCATGCAATTCATACTCAAAATGTCTGCAGCACACATCAGGAAGTCCTGCAAAATCAGATATATAGCTGGAAATACTGACGGCATGAGGGACCAACAGACAGGAGAGGTCAAAAGCGTACACAGAGTTTTGCATTTTGCAAACCCGGACTGGGGAAGAGTTGAGTGGCCATCAGTCCTGCACTGGAGAGGGACGGTGGCTTCTGAGACAGGACACTTCCTTTATAATAAGGAAGCCTCTGAGACACTCCTCTTTCAGAAACAGAGAAGTGACTTGCTTATTGGGTTAAAAACTCATCTTGTAAGAAAACCCAGGTTGGCTGCGGAGTTTCCATGGGGAGGATGCTGCAGACTGCCTCCCTCCTGCTGCAGGCTGACTCATTCCCTCTTAGACAGATTGTGTCCTGCGTGGGAGTTGCTATGCAGATCCCAAAGCTGTTCCCTGAGAGTTACAGGAATTACAACCTGCTGAAGGGAATGATTGTTCTAAATATGTTCTTTTTTTAGTATATTTGCTGCTGAAGCGAGCACTAAATATGTTCTTTTAATGAGACTTTATTTTGATTATTATTTTATTAATGGAGTCCTAAGAGGAAACAGCAAGAACCACTGTCTTCAGAAAACCATTTGCTTTTCTCTTTGGGGGTGTTTGGTCAATTGGCTCTGAATGCTAAACTCCGCAATCAGGTCAGGCCTGACTTTTAGTGCACCGGTGTTTGGCAAAAGTCCTGGGCTAAAATCCTCCAGGAAGGCTGCTGCCTTGGGATCAGAGTCTCTGGGTGGTCTACCCCGGCACATGGCATCACCCAGGGATCTGATGACTTAGTAAGGGCCTGTTACTGGTTCATTATGGCTGGGATCTGTTTGAACAGAGCTGACAGCTGTCAAGGCCTCCAGGGGAAAGGAAAGAGCACATATCAGGTATGTTATTTTTCCAGGTGCCCAGGCCGAAAGCTCACACCTCCTCAAGAGGAAGCTGGGCTGGCAAAGGTCCTCATTGCTTGTGTGTGGCACCCCCTAACGTCAGATGGTTGCTTTTGGTTCTGTTCTGTTGGACATGTGGCAAGAGCTAAATTTTTAATCATTCCTAGTTTACAAAGCTTGGATACTGTGTCTGGTGGCTGCTGGTAATGCAGGAGACGTCCAGGCCGATTTTTACCGGGTGAATATGAACAAGAGAGGTCCCCAGAACAGCAAGATCTCCACTGGGGGTCATCAGGAGGTAGGCTGCACACAGTGCCCAGCTGGTTGTTAATCCAGCGCAATTTAACAAATGTCTGCTGAGTGCCTGTTGAAGGGCTGGGGCGGGAAGGTCAAAGGTAGGCCTGCCTCCAGTTGCTCATGGATAGCAAATTCTTCTAGTTCCTGGAGAATCTGATAAAAATGCTGAGAGCTCAGCTTTATCATCTGTAAAATGGAGGTAATAGAAACCTAATGGTGTCCTTGGGAGGATTTAAAGGGACAATGCATGTAAAGTATGTTATATTTGCCTAGTCCATACTGGGTGCACATTATTTGTGGAAGGGCTAAATGAATGAAAGTGAATCAAAAAGACAAATATGAGTCAAGTATGCATATTGTGCTGAGAGGTAGTAAATCTGAACTAGTATTTTAACACGCTTCCAGGTGGGGGAAAGTGCAGGTTAATTTAGGATGGGCTGACTTGTTACCCAAGTCAGGGAGTGTGAAGGCTGAGAGCTGAAGATCAGAAATGGGTCTCAGTGTGCGTGCTGGGTTGCGTTG